ACACACACACACACACACACACACACACACACACACACACAGACACACACACACACAGACACACACACACACAAAAACACACACACACACACGCACACGCCCACGCCCACGCCCACGCCCACGCCCACGCCCACGCCCACGCCCACGCACACACACATACACACACAGTCACACACACACGCACACACAAAAACACACACACACACACGCATAGATACTTAGACACAACAGGGCTGAACCTAAACGTTGTTTGTCGTTGTCGTTTTGTTTTCGTTGTCCCTCGCTTTTGTCTCGAATCCGCCTCTCTACTGCAATACGAAGTCGAAACGACAACGGCCCACAGAATCACCAAAAACCGTCTAGGTCCAGCCCTGAGACACAAATCCCAGGATTCCCCAAACTTCCAAATATTTTCAGGGTGTTCGTCTTCCTCCCCAGTTCCCTCAGTCTCCTTCTTTTTCGTGGGAATCGACGATTAACTGTGTCAGTGCTTGTCTTTTCCTGAGAACACAGCATACAGTAGGGGCCCGACCACGAGAAACCTTCCACAAGAAACCCAATCCTGAGACCCCAGGGCGTCCATCGATTTGTCGTGCGGGAACGTCACGCTTGCCATGGCAAAACCATCGAAACCCAAGAAACCCGGGGCGTCCTGGAGGCAAGCAGGGTGTTTCTTGGCATGGGTCTCCGCTGTAGAAGAAGAAGAAGAAATTGCCTAGACTTGAACTTTTAGCGCTGCACGCGCACCTCTTGGATCTGCGCTGGGCCTTCCTCCATGGCGCGCAAAGCGCGCCAGGAGGCGCCGCCGGGTGGGCCCAGTGCGGATCCAAGAAATCCGCGCGGAGCGCCAAAAATGTATGTTTATGCCATGCTTTTTTCTTGTTCGAGAGAGAGAGAGAGAGAGAGAGAGAGAGAGAAAGACATCTGTGGCTCCTTTTCTGTTTTTTTCTATATTTTCGGGGCCCTCCACGTTCTCGAGACTCGGACAATCCACGACGGCCCAAGAAGCCTCCAACACCGCCTCAGGGAGGGTCGACCAGCCCCCCCCAGAGGGCCCCGGGACGGCCTAGCAGGCGAGTAGGAGATCGACTGCAGTCGGACCTGGGGCAGGAGAACATCCTTCAAGAACATATGAGGCCCTCCGCCGGCCGAGACGAAGAGTATTCGAGGGCACCCTCCCCCGGGATGCGCAAGAGCACCCAACGAGCGCGAGGAACATTCGGGCACCTTCCCCGAACCGACCTCGATCTCAACACCTCGGGCCGACCGCACCGAACTGGTGTGCCCCCGAGACCGCCTCTTGACCGCATCAGTCCACGCCACGTGCGCAGATTTGACGGAACACAGTCAATGTTTGGCGAGTGAATTCTGCAGCCGATCTCCTGCTCGAGCGGGGGTGGGGGCGCTCTTGCCGTCGCTCGGACGTCCATTTCCCGTGCACTTGTCGGTCTCGTGCGTGTTTTTGTTTTGCTCGACGGTCCGAGCGATGCCCAGCGCTGGGGCGGGCGCCGTGGGCGCGCGAGCCCTCCCCCCGCGGCCCCGCCCGCGCGCTCCTGCGCCCCTCGGCGGCCCTCCGAGCGGTCTTGCGTGTTTGACGGTGGACCCCCCTCTTCGGGAGGGTGAAGGCAGGGGCCGGCCCACATTGGGGGGTGAAGGGGAAAAGGCTCCCCGCCGCTCGGACGTCCATACCCTGTGCTGTTTTCGGTTTCGTGCGTAGTTTGTTTTTTTCGCAGGATGATCCAGGATGCTCCTTCATAATCCCCGCCGAGAAAAAAGGTGCACACGTCCGAGCGATACCAAGAAGGGCCCTCAATTGGGACCTTCAGGGCCCCTTCTGGAGCAAGCATGGTGCCCGAAATGGGCCAAGCGGGCCCTACTGGGCCCCTGAAGGGTTTTTGTGCAGTCCTTCGCCCCTCACTTTTTGTAAGTATTTGCGCTCTTCCGCCACTGAAGAAATGCCCCACATGCGATGGATACCTGCGGTCTTCCTGTATGCAGTTGTTGCCCTCTCTTGGAGCAACACTGGCAACAACTGGGTATCGAACTCCTCTGACACGCATGTATGGCAAAATCATGCAGGACTTTGCAAGCGCTATCACAGCAGCTGCGCTCGTGAGTATTAGGCAATTCTGTACGTAGGGCAGCTGCTGCATGTTCCCTTCATGCACACATCACAAAATCTTACCGACTGTACCCAGCATGCGAACTCACCAGACGCACCAACTGGGCTTGGCCCCCTGGCCGTAAGGCGGGGACGAGTCGCAGCCGCCATCGGGCTGAGGCTTCAGGCACAGCTCCCGCGAGGCGCAGTAGCCCGTCACGCACGAGCCCTCGTCGCCGCACCCGTTGAAGCAGCACTTCCCCTCCGTCGCATTCTCGATGGCTGGCGTCGCTGACGAGAGCTGCTTCGGAGCCACGGCCGGGCACCAGCTGGGCTTGGCCCCCTGGCCGTAAGGCGGGGACGAGTCGCAGCCGCCATCGGGCTGAGGCGTCAGGCACAGCTCCCGCGAGGCGCAGTAGCCCGTCACGCACGAGCCCTCGTCGCCGCACCCGTTGAAGCAGCACTTCCCCTCCGTCGCATTCGATGGCTGGCGTCGCTGACGAGAGCTGCTTCGGAGCCACGGCCGGGCACCAGCTGGGCTTGGCCCCCTGGCCGTAAGGCGGGGACGAGTCGCAGCCGCCATCGGGCTGAGGCTTCAGGCACAGCAGCCCGTGCACGAGCCCTCGTCGCCGCACCCGTTGAAGCAGCACTTCCCCTCCGTCGCATTCTCGATGGCTGGCGTCGCTGACGAGAGCTGCTTCGGAGCCACGGCCGGGCACCAGCTGGGCATGGCCCCCTGGCCGTAAGGCGGGGACGAGTCGCAGCCGCCATCGGGCTGAGGCTTCAGGCACAGCTCCCGCGAGGCGCAGTAGCCCGTCACGCACGAGCCCTCGTCGCCGCACCCGTTGAAGCAGCACTTCCCCTCCGTCGCATTCTCGATGGCTGGCGTCGCTGACAAGAGCTGCTTCGGAGCCACGGCCGGGCACCAGCTGGGCATGGCCCCCTGGCCGTAAGGCGGGGACGAGTCGCAGCCGCCATCGGGCTGAGGCTTCAGGCACAGCTCCCGCGAGGCGCAGTAGCCCGTCACGCACGAGCCCTCGTCGCCGCACCCGTTGAAGCAGCACTTCCCCTCCGTCGCTTTCTCGATGGCTGGCGCCGCTGACGAGAGCTGCTTCGGAGCCACGGCCGGGCACCAGCTGGGCATGGCCCCCTGGCCGTAAGGCGGGGACGAGTCGCAGCCGCCATCGGGCTGAGGCTTCAGGCACAGCTCCCGCGAGGCGCAGTAGCCCGTCACGCACGAGCCCTCGTCGCCGCACCCGTTGAAGCAGCACTTCCCCTCCGTCGCATTCTCGATGGCTGGCGTCGCTGACGAGAGCTGCTTCGGAGCCACGGCCGGGCACCAGCTGGGCTTGGCCCCCTGGCCGTAAGGCGGGGACGAGTCGCAGCCGCCATCGGGCTGAGGCTTCAGGCACAGCTCCAGCGAGGCGCAGTAGCCCGTCACGCACGAGCCCTCGTCGCCGCACCCGTTGAAGCAGCACTTCCCCTCCGTCGCATTCTCGATGGCTGGCTCGCTGACGAGAGCTGCTTCGGAGCCACGGCCGGGCACCAGCTGGGCTTGGCCCCCTGGCCGTAAGGCGGGGACGAGTCGCAGCCCCATCATCGGGCTGGGCTTGGCCCCCTGGCCGTAAGGCGGGGACGAGTCGCAGCCCCCATCGGGCTGAGGCGTCAGGCACAGCTCCCGCGAGGCGCAGTAGCCCGTCACGCACGAGCCCTCGTCGCCGCACCCGTTGAAGCAGCACTTCCCCTCCGTCGCATTCTCGATGGCTGGCGTCGCTGACGAGAGCTGCTTCGGAGCCACGGCCGGGCACCAGCTGGGCTTGGCCCCCTGGCCGTAAGGCGGGGACGAGTCGCAGCCGCCATCGGGCTGAGGCTTCAGGCACAGCTCCCGCGAGGCGCAGTAGCCCGTCACGCACGAGCCCACGTCGCCGCACCCGTTGAAGCAGCACTTCCCAGGTGTTGCGCGGCCTGTTCCGCGCAGGCTAGACGTTGGAGCGCCCGAAGAGCACGCGGCTAACACGCTCACGAACAGCACTGGGCGCGACATAATCATCCTGTTTAGCTGCCTCCCACAGACGGTCTGGTGCCACGAACCACAAGCTACTACGGATACCACCCGCCCGACCCCAACTGCCAATCCAAACACCTCCCATATGGGGTCCGAGTAGATGGTGTCGGAGGGTCGCGCCAGATCGCCGATGCATCGGCGATGCACCGGCGACGCATCGTCGATGTCGGCGATGCATCGGCGACGCCGACATGAATCAAGTCGGGCCCAACATCGAACCGCATCGCCGATGCATCGGCATTGCGGCGTGATCCTCTGACCTCATCTACTCCGATCCCATCCAGGAAGCCTAGACAAACGCTCCCCAGCCGTTTTCGGTGGTATTCGCCGGACTTCGGATGGTCTTCGGCGGTCTTCGGTGGCCTTCGGCGGTCCTCTCTGAAGGGGTCTTCGGCGGTTCCCCGCGGTCTTCGGAAATTGTCTGGCGATCTTCGGCGCTAAAAATGGACGGCTGGGTTCAACAAGGAGTCCGCCATCGCACACCTTAAAAAAGCGTGCCTGCACCAACATGTGTGCGGCGCAACCAAGCGTGTCTTACGCGGAGTGGCATATAGAGACCATGCGCGGTGGCTCACACGGGCCGCCAGCGCGGCGCGCCGCGTTGGAACTGAAGGGCACCCACGCGCAGACTTACGCGCCATCGAACCCTTTATTCTGTGCCGCAAGGAAACAACTCCTGGGAGGTAGTCGTACACTTCTAAGCTTAGGTCGGGTATTTCCTCCCACTGGCGGATGTTGGGCGACAGTTGAACAAAAAACAAACAGTATTCAAAAACGACGGTACGCTGTAAGTGCACATTGACCATCGAACTGAAAATGCACAATTGCGCTGGATTGTAAAGTTGGATCTTTACGTTAGACCTCTGTGCGTTGGATCTCTTTACGCTGGATATCTTTAACTCGGATATCTCTACGTTGGATGTTACGTTGGATATCTTTACGTTGGATCTCTTTACGTTGGATCTCTTCACGTTGGATTTTTGCGTTGGATTTCCATGCCGGAAATTCGCGCTGCCTGTTTTCGCAAACTGTTTTCCACATGTCATGTGGCGGTTAGGTACCCACCGCAGATCAAAATTAGACCTCGCCGTCCTGGGGGGCTGAGACCTGCGACACGGTCGCCACTTTCGATGGCTGCCGTTGGGTCCAGCGGGGCGAGGCAGCGCGGGGGCCTGAGCGAAACTTCGCCGTCCCTGGAGGGGGGCTGCGATCTGCGACACGGTCGCCACTTTCGAGGGCTGCTGTTTGGGTCCAGCGGGGCGAGGCAGCGCGGGGACCTGAGCGAGACTTCGCCGTCCATGGGGGAGGGGGGGGCTGCGATCTTCGAAACGGTTGCCACTTTCGAGGGCTGCTGTTGGGTCCAGCGGAGCGAGGCACCGCGGGTCTGCGACACGGTCGCCACTTTCGAGGGCTGCTGGTGGGTCCAGCGGAGCGAGGCACCGCGGGGACCTGAACGAGACCTCGCCGTCCCTGGGGGGGGGCTGCGATATGCGACACGGTCGCCACTTTCGAGGGCTGCTGTTGGGTCCAACGGAGCGAAGCAGCGCGGGGATTTTAGCGAGACCTCGCCGTCTCTGTGGTGGCTGCGATCTGCGACGCGGTCGCCACTTTCGGGGGCTGCTGGTGGGTCCAACGGGGCGAGGCAACGCGGGGGCCTGAGCGAAACCTCGCCGTCCGTGGTGTGTGGGGGGGGGCTGCGATCTGCGGCGCCGCCGCCACTTTCGAAGGCTGCTGGTGGGTCCAGCGGAGCGAGGCACCGCGGGTCTGCGACGCGGTCGCCACTTTCGGGGGCTGCTGGTTGGTCCAGCGGAGCGAGGCAGCGCGGGGACCTGAGCGAGACCTCGCCGTCCCTGGGGGGGGACTGCGATATGCGACGAGGCCGCCACTTTCGAGGGCTGCTGTCGGGCCCGGCGGAGCGAAGCACCGCAGGGGCCCGAGCGAGACCTCGCCGTCCCTGGGGGGGGGCTGCGATCTGCGACGCGGTCGCCACTTTCGGGGGCTGCTGGTGGGTCCAGCGGAGCGAGGCAGCGCGGGGGCCTGAGCGAGACCTCGCCGTCCCTGCGGGGGGGCTGCGATCTGCGACACTGCTGCCACTTTCGAGGGCTGCTGTTTGGGTCCAGCGGGGCGAGGCAGCGCGGGGGCCTGAGCGAGACCTCGCCGTCCCTGGGGGGGGGCGGGGGGCTGCGATCTGCGACGACGTCGCCACTTTCGGGGGCTGCTGGTGGGTCCAGCGGAATGAGGCAGCGCGGGGACCTGAGCGAAACCTCGCCGTCTCCGGAAGGGGGGCTGCAGTCTGCGACGCGGTCGCCACTTTCGATGGCTGCTGTTGGGTCCAGCGGAGCGAGGCACCGCGGGGACCCGAGCGAAACCTCGCCATCCCTGGGGGGGCTGCGATCTGCGACGCGGTCGCCACTTTCGCAAGCTGCTTGTGGGCCCAGCGGAGCAAAGCACCGCGGGGAAATGAGCGAGACCTCGCCGTCCCTGGGTGGGGGGCTGCGGTCTGCCACGCGGTCGCCACTTTCGAGGGCTGCTGTTGGGTCCAACGGAGCGAAGGTCCGCGGGGACCTGAGCGATGCCTCGCCGTCCATTGGGGGGGGGCTGCGATCTGCGACGCTGGGGGGGGGCTGCGATCTGCGACGCGGTCGCCACTTTCGAAGGCTGCTGGTGGGTCCAGCGGAGCAAGGCAGCGCGGGGACCTGAGCGAGACTTCGCCGCCCCTGGGGGGGGGGGCTGCGATCTGCGACATTGTCCCCACTTTCGAGGGCTGCTGGTGGGTCCTGCGGAGTGAAGCTCCGCCAGGAACTGCGCGAGACCTCGCCGCCCCTCGGGGCTGCGATCTGCGACGACGTCGCCACTTTCGAAGGCTGCTGTCGGGCCCGGCGGAGCGAAGCACCGCGGGGGCCCGAGCGAGACCTCGCCGTCCGGGGGGGGGGGGGGCTGCGATCGATCTGCGACGCTGCCGCCGCTTTCGGGGCCCGCTGGCGGGCCCTGCGGAGCGAAGCGCCGCGAGGGCCTGAGCGAGACCTCGCCGTCGAGGGGGGCTGCGATCTGCGACGCGGTCGCCGCTTTCGAGGGCTGCTTTTGGGTCCAGCGGAGCAGTGCGCCGCGGGGAACTGAGCGAGACCTCGCCCTGCCTGGGGGGCGCGCGGGGGGGGCTGCGATCTGCGACGCTGCTGCTGGGCCCAGCGGGGCGAAGCACCGCGGGGGCCTGAGCGAGACCTCGCCGTCCCCGGGGCGGGCGCCGGGGAAGGGGGGGGGGGGGGGGGCTGCGATCTGCGACGCGGCCGCCACTTTCGAGGGCCGCTGGTGGGTCCAGCGGGGCGAGGCACTGCGGGGGCCCGAGCGCGACCTCGCCGTCCCTGGGGGCTACGATCTGAAAGGCGGTCGCCACTTTCGAAGGCGGCCGGCGGGTTCAGCGGAGTGAAGCACCGCGGGGGTGAGAGCGAGACCTCGCCGTCCCTGGGGGGGCTCTGATCTGCGACGCTGTCGCCGCTGTCGAAGGCTGCTGGTGGGCCCTGCGGAGTGAAGCACCGCGGGGGCCCGGGCGAGACCTCGCCGTCCTTGGGGGGGGCTGCGATCTGCGACGCTGTCGCCGCTTTCGAAGGCTGCCCGCGGGTCCGGCAAACTGGGGCACTGCGGGGGCCCGAGCGAAACCGCGCGCCCCCAGGGGGGCTGCGACCTGCGACGCCGTTAGGGCTGCCGCCGGGCCCAGCGGGCTGAGGCGCCGCGGGGGGCCGAGCGTGACCTCGCCGTCCCTGGGGGGCTGCGATCTGCGACGCCGGCGCCGCTTTTGAAGGCTGCTGGCGCGTCCAGCGGAGTGAGGCTCCGCGGGGGCCTGGGCGAGACCTCGCCGTCCCTGGGGGGCTCTGGAGGGCTGCTGCGGGATGCGTTAGGCGCAGCGGGCGCATGGCGCAACCAACGGGGGTGATTTGTGAAACAGACCAACTGCCGGGCGATGGCCGTGACGTTGCGCCTGCAAGAATCCCGCGGGGGCTCTCAAGAGCTGCTGCGGGATGCGTTGGGTGCAATGGGGGTGATTGGTTATGACGTAGTCCTTATATCTTGATCTGGGGCCTGCGAGCCTTGCGACTGCTGCTCGCAAATTCTCACGCGGCCGCGTTGCGTCGTCGCACCAGCTGTAACAACCCTGCAGCACTTACGCCCCGCATTGCGCAAGGGCCGGGTACGTCGCCAGGCCTTTTAACGTTCGATGTTCTCATTAAGTGTTAGACCTTGCGTTCTTACGTTGAATCTGCGCGCTGGAATTTGTCGATGGATGTTCACTTTTGGGTTCTAGATTTTTTTCGCGGTATTGGTATTTACCTTAAACATTCACATGTGATCTTCGCGTTGGACCATAACGTTGGACATGCGCATTGGATCTGCACGTTGGGCTTTTGTCGTGAGATCTGTGCGTATGATCATTGCGTTGGAACTTTGCGTTGGGTCTTTACTTTGAATATTTACGTTGGATTTTTACGTTCGATCTC